CTCCAGGTCCAGCGGCTATCTGTAGCTCCATATAGTTTAAACGTCAATGAGGCATTTTTTTTACAAAGTGCGCATGAAAAGCCCGATAAAATCTCGTATAATTTGACTCAGCCTTGAAGCTCATCAAAGTAAATGAAATGAAAGGGCGAGGGAGGCAGTCACTGTTAATGAAGCAAAAACGGCCTCAAACCCCCTTAAACCTTTATTTTCAGACCACTCTAATAAGCATGGTCAATAAATTTTAGCTTCTTGAATGATTTTTAGAGTTTCAGAAATTAGATAAAATTTCGAACAAAAAAATGTGTTCAATATACTACTTTCAATAACTGCACCGTTTTCCTCTCCCGCTTGAGTTTATTTTCACCTTTACACTCTCTTTCAAAGGCTTTTGGCTAAGCGCCAATTTCATATGACCTGAAATAGATTTTCAGCGTTTCTTGGCTATGTTCTGAAACAGGCTCTTTGTAGGGCGGGGCTTGAACTGTCGTCGTATTCTGAGGAACAATCGGAGACAGCGCGCATAACCGTGATCTACAGGCGCTACCCCGGTTGGGCTAAATAGGCTTGAGTTTCTAAGTTTTTGCAACCCTTTTCGTAATCGTTCTCTGCAGAATGATGTGGTCTTGCATTTGGTGTGATCTGCAGCGTAAAGAATAGCTGGAGATTGGCACCTGTGGAGAATGTTTAACGTTTAAGCAGAGCATGAGGGCATGAGGCAGTCTCCATGACGTGTCGTTGCTGCCCGATCCAAGTGGTGCCCTGAGCGGCCTGTAATCGTTCTTGTTACCACTCAGCGCTATAAGCAAGACCGATGTGCAGGGTTTTTCTTTATTCTTCTTATTAAAAGAGCAACAAATTTTTATTCAAAAAGAACAGACTTACCTGCCCGTGCACGTGCCTTTCATTGGCAATGGGCGCCCCTGTTATTTGGATTATGGACCGCCAGCTGTTGCTACCTAGAGCCAGATGGCGAAGTGACAAATTACTTGATGGGGAAAACGTAGTCAGAGACAAAATAATTTTTGCATAGATAGCCTCTCTCCGAATTTATCAACAAATATCTCGTCGTTCCTTATAAATGTGGTTGTGTTCAATGTTCAAATCTTAACAAACAGGCACTATGAGTCGCCGCTGCCTGAGGATTTGGCCAAATTGCCAGAGTATGCTGCGTAAGCTAGACATCCTGGAAAGAGTGCCAAGAAAACGCAAAAAATGCTTTTTTTGTTTACTAAGCGTAGCAGTGCCGTAAGGTATAACTTTACTAAAAAATAGTAATAATTATTAGTGAAAAAATTGATGATTTATCCTACGTTAATTCAGCAATCTCCACCAATCTACCTTTCTTTTGCATGCCATTCTGGATACACATGCGGGAAATTGTAAAGTTAAAGTTGTTAGAAACATCTCCGAGAAGCGTTCCATATGCGTTTGAGCAGCTTTTTGGAATTTTCGGTACTTTTACGTGTTAAACGTAATCAAAAAGCTGCAGTTTCTCTCAAATAAAAATTATTACGGACTTGATAAAAATGCTCCATGTAAACTAAAATAGGTAAAATGTAGTCAAAGGTTTGCTCTGCTTAACAGTTACCAGCGCTCTTTAGAAATTTCAGGATAAAAATTTTCAAAATATAAGAAGTGTTTCGCATTACTGTTAGGCTGCTCAAAAAGTCATGGTGTCAACATCGCAAAGAGAGGGTAGCTGGGAGAGTAAATAAAGCTTGTAAGGAAGGGGATGAAAATCTGAATCAAATGGTACCTAGATCGTTTATGGATTGGTTCTGTGAGGTTTACTGAGCGATGAAAAAAACCAACAAAACTTTCGGGACAACCTAATGTATAGTAAGGTAATCTATACTTTGTTCCCATTTGACAAATCCGGAAATCCTACCGATTTTGAGTAGTCGTGTGCCACTTCCAAGACTTTATCAGCCTGAGAATTTATTATATTTTCAGCGCTTTTCAGTGCTGTGACAAGTTGAGCAGCGTCAGTACACGAACTGTTGTAAAAACAAACATGAATCTTGAAAAAATGGAATGATCATACGAACAGTAAATAGCAGCGATTAGTAAGGCCCGTATGCACGTACGTCCCCGCTGGGGAGGGGAGGGGAGCTGGATCCCCAGGGGAACGATCCCCTCCGCCGAACCCCGCCATGACAGAGGGGAGGGGAGCGATCCCCTCCCCTGCACCTAAGCGGGGATGGTGTGAATGATTTCAGAGGTATTGATCGAGCGGACCCCAGTGCATACGGGGTTCGAATGGGGGAGGGGATCCCTTCCCTTCCCCCACTCGAACCCCGTATGCGCGAATTCAACTCAATAACGCGGGGAAGGGGATCGACATCCCCTGCAACGAAGTAGGAGTTGGATGGTGTAGATCATGCCAGAGACGCGGATATTCTGGTTCTGCTCAGTCATTACCAAGCATTTCGTTCATTTTGATGGAGGATTTTCTTTGAAAGCCGGGTTCTTCTCTCAGCGACCTGTGGCTTGCAATTTGTCTTTCTTTTCTATATTCGCCTCTTGAGAAGATCCGAGCAACAATAGCTGCCAATTTCGATTATTTGTAGGAGTTCTTGATCATTCAGGAAATTTGCGCATTTTTCATATAACATAATAGTTTTAACTATATAGGCTGAATAAACACACTGTAACTTTCATATTTCATGACACGTTGCCATTATCTTGTTTCTTTAACATAAGCTGCCTCGAAAAAATCTAGAAAGTAGCATATTTGCCTATTTCTGAGTAGAAATCCCCGGGGAGTGATCCCCTCCTCAGCGTTCCCCTTGTGCATAGCAGGGATGGCTGCTGGGGATCATTCCCCTGGGATAAACGACGATATGCAGCTGATAGTTACAGCGTTTATGGAGAGCTGGCACAATTTGCAGCTTCTGTTATGTGTTAGAATACTGCTTTGAGCGTCCGCGCGGCACCCCCCCCCTCTTCGGCAGCATAACGTCTTCTACCCATTCCCTTGCAGAGACACATCAACTTCTATAGTTCAACATTTTGACGCTGAAATGGAGCAGCATGAACGAAAGTGGGCAGCACCCAAGAAAGCAGGAACATAATGGGAGTAGAAAAAATCATTTTTAGCGCCCCGAGCGCAGTCACTGCATACGCACATTCCGCAACCCTAAATTAATTGAAGTGAGGAGATGAAGATCAGTCAAAATATGAAATAAGAAAGTTTTTCATAGAAAATTTGAAAGCAAGGTGATCTCCCCGCTTGATCCCCTCTTGTGCATAAGAGGGTTCACTTCCCCTCCCCACAGGGGATCCCTTGTACGATATTGTCTTTGTGCATACGGGGGTTCGCGCGGGGAGGGATGTGCGCTTAACCATTGAAATGATCCCCGCTGGGGATCCCTTCCAGTACTCTGCGTTGATACCACTGCTTACGGGCCTAAGAACAACACTAAGGCCCGTATGCACGTACATCCCCGCGGGGAGGGGATGTGCGCTTAACCATTGAAATGATCCCCGCTGGGGATCCCTTCCCCTCCCCGCGCGAACCCCCGTATGCACAAAGACAATATCGGACAAGGGATCCCCTGTGGGGAGGGGAAGTGAACCCTCTTATGCACAAGAGGGGATCAAGCGGGGAAATCACCTTGCTTTTAAAATTTTCCATAAAAAACTCTTTCTTATTTCATATTTTGACTGCAACTCATCTTCATCTCCTCACTTTCATTAATTTAGGGTTGCGGAATGCGCGTATGCAGTGACTGCGCTCGGGGCACTAAAAATGATTTTTTTCTACTCCCATTATGTTCATGCTTTCTTGGATGCTGCCCACTTTCGCTCATGCTGCTCCATTTCAGCGTAAAAATGTTGAACTGTAGAAGTTGATGTGTCTCTGCAAGGGAATGGGTAGAAGACGTTAGGTTGCCGAAAAGGGGGGGGGGGTGCCGCGCGGAAGCTCAAAGCAGTTTTCTAACACATAACAGAAGCTGCAAATTGTGCCAGCTCTCCATAAACGCTGTAGCTATCAGCTGCATATCGTCCTTTATCCAAGGGGAATGATCCCCAGCAGCCATCCCTGCTATGCACAAGGGGAACGCCGGGGAGGGGATCACTCCCCAGGGGATTTCTACTCAGAAATAGGCAAATATGCTACTTTCTAGATTCTTTCAAGGCAGCTTATGTTAAAATAACAAGATAATGGCAATATGTCATGAAATATGAAAGTTACAATATGTTTACTCAGCCTATATAGTTGAAACTATTATGTTATATGAAAAATGCGCAAATTTCCTGAATGATCAAGAACTCCTACAAATAATCGAAATTGGCAGCTATTGTTGCTCGGATTTCTTCTCAAGAGGCGAATATAGAAAAGAAAGACAAATTGCAAGCCACAGGTCGCTGAGAGAAAAACCCGGCTTTCAAAGAAAATCCTCCATCAAAATGAACGAAATGCTTAATAATGACTGAGCAGAACCAGAATATCCGCGTCTCTGGCATGATCTACACCATCGAACCCCTACTTCGTTGCAGGGGATGTCGATCCCCTCCTTCGCGTTACTGAGTTGAATTCGCGCATACGGGGTTCGAGTGGGGGAAGGGAAGGGATCCCCTCCCCCATTCGAACCCCGTATGCACTGGGATTCGCTCGATCAATACCTCTGAAACCATTCACACCATCCCCGCTTAGGTGCAGGGGAGAAGATCGCTCCCCTCCCCTCTGTCATGGCGGGCTTCGGCGGAGGGGATCGTTCCCCTGGGGATCCAGCTCCCCTCCCCTCCCCAGCGGGGACGTACGTGCATACGGGCCTAACTCACAGAACTGCAAACATTTGATGTAAATAACATTCTGCTTGCAAGTCAGCGTCGCACACCGACAAACGGTTCTAGATTAAGAATACACATGTAGGAATCACATTTGTGGAAGGATTGATAAGACTCGGAGTAAAAGTCTTTACCTGCGGACAGACAATAAACTTCGCAACTTTTACTTGAACTAAATAGAAGAAGAATGCTGCGTTAATTCGTAGACGGGGACACGTATGTATGCGGAGGAACGCTGGTTTCGAGAAGACATGTCATTACCGCAGCTCACTGTTTTTGGGCGTCAAATAACAAGAAAATGGGGTGTTGCAGGTAAAGAAAATTCAGTAGAGATAACATTCTCTACAAATTCGCTTCAGTCCCTGGGACATGCTCCCTGAGATAGATGCGATACATAACACAGAAGTTTTTATTGGTGGAACGTGCTCTTCAGCAGGCAGATTCGGCTGCACTTGGTCAGATATCGGCCGAAAGTACAAAATTGCGCGGTACGTCTCAGCCGAAATCACAGCGGCTAAGTTCCCTTTCAGCTACATTAATGTCACCTTAATAAATACATATTAAGCGCATTTTATGTGCTTTACTTCGCGTATGGCTGCAATGGGACTTATGACATAGCCATTCTTGAGTTGACAGAAGATGTTCCGAAGACGATTAATCATATCTGCCTTCCTTTTATGCACCATCTGGAAGAGCTTGAAGACCCCTACCTGGAGCTAAGGTCATTCGGATGGGGAGCAGACCGTAAGATTCTTTCTACTTCAGAAAATCATAATCAATATTGGTATTACAGCTTTGAACCACGCCGGAGAGCCGCCGCCGACCTCGCCCTACCTGCAGATAGCGGATTTAGGTGCGTATCGGATTCTTCAATAAGCCGGATATAAATAGATTGAAGGTGCGAAATTATCGAAGGAGACGTGCGACAGAATGAAACCTTTTGAAGCAGAGGATACGTTTTGCACCAGATCCAATGGGCAAATTGTTTGCCAAGTAAGCATCACCGCACCCAACGTTTCATGCTTCTAATCTATAGACTCGATTATCGCTGCCGTTTTTGACCGGGGTGTAAGCCCTTCTGCACCAGTCCGTCCTAGCGTTAATCAATCTGCCCTAGAGCGGCGCTGAATTTCTCTGCTTTTTTTGATAATCTAACAGTTTTTGATTATCTTAGACTATTTTAAAGCAAGTGCACATTTTTGACCAACAGCATAGGGGGTTTTATTTGAGACAAAACTTTGTGGAGGTTGAGTTTTTGCTCTTTGTTTTCGTATGTTTCGTAATTTCCTCCCCTTCAATTTTTCCAAACAATAGTAAAATCTGCACGGTCAACCTAAGAACCTCCTGAAGCCACGTATATCATTCTTTGTTTATCTAAATCTCAAACTCTTCTTTAATTCTTCTTTTTACGTAACTTGTCCTCATTAAAAAACCTTCGTCTCTAACCACAGCCTCGATCTCTCGCGACAGCCCCGACTTGGAAGCAAGCAGTAGTTAGGCCGCTAATTGTAAGATTATCGGTGCAGAAGGTCCATTCTCCACAGGACCTTTCCTAAGCAGCATAGCCAGCTTGCACCAAAAAATGCTTCCTAATTCAATCCCCATTTGACTGAGTCTAACCCTTTCGAATAAAAGCCATATTCTTGAAGACAAACCATTCTGATCTGCGCATAACCGCGTGCATGAGTGAAGCATATTTTAAGCTTATAACCTTTGGTGATCTTGAGTTTGTATAAGCAAAAAGTAGTTTTTATTTTTTATAAACTTCAGAAAAAAAAGCGCCGCTTTACATTTTCACATTTTTCTGTAAAAGCGAGGTAGAATGTTGGCATTGGTAAACGCTTGCAGCAGCCGATTTGCTAAGGCAGGCAGTAACGTGAACCAACTAAATGAAGCCTTTATAAAATGATCTGCTGCAAATGGCAATTTTGAGAGCTGCATTTCATAAGTGTATCAAATGGGTTCAGCTACCAAGACACGTCCGTGGGACTTTGTCATTATGATTGAGATTGAATGTTCTTTGGTGGTACTGGAACTTTTGGCCATGGGGAATAGATAGCGATTCTGGGTTGTTCGCCATTCGATTTTATGCAAAGAAAGGGTAAAAACGATTGGTCATTGCTTCTCCAGTGTCTGGCTCACTCACACTGGCCTACTTGTTTACTTGCTTACATTATACTTATACTAAGCTGCTGCATAAGTTCTGTCCGATCTTTTGCCTTGTGCTAGAAGCAGTCGTTCTAGGAGATTTTCATCTATGCAATATTATTTGTACCATAACAAAGGGCTTTCCTTGCTTTTTCTAACATCTATCATATTTCAATAAAATCCCCAGTCTGACGAGATTGCAGGTTATGATTTCTATGATTTCCAGATAGTCGAGACACATTTTTAGCTCAGAAAATGTTCTTGCGAGAAAATCTCTAAAAATATGCTCTCCAAGTCAAGTGCTTGTATTGGTCAACAGTAGGAGTGAAATAGTCCAGCATGTGCACAGACTCACCAGGGCCCGGCACGAGCTGACACAGGAAATTTCAAAACGATGTCCCGTTTGATCTTGAAAGTTTTGTACAAAATCCCCTTTACGGTGCCAGCTAATTCAAAAAAAGTTCAGCACAGCTTTCATTCACACAAGTTTTCATAAATTTTTGAGCCATAGTTCGAGTCCACCAACGCGCATGCACACACCAAATTTGGTGTTATACTATTGCGTTTTGGCTGAAAATAACGCCTTTGTTTGTTTGATGCACAGCATGCTGGTGGCATGCCGGCGGCATTCTTGCGGCACTCCTCCGCCTCGGATCCCGAAAAAACAATGTCCTCTTTGCTTTCCGCTCTAAAAACGATATCCAGCTTGGCCCGGTGCCAGCTGAGCCGAGCCCTGAGACTCACTTGTATTTATTACTGGAGAATAATTATTTGAACAGAAATTCGACAAGCAATAACTTTGTTGAATGGAGGCAGTGGGTTATAATGTTGGAAGTGCTAGAGTAAAACAAGAGCTAGAGGAGTCCGGTCGTCAGTTACTTTCCACCGTGTGTAAAATTTTCATAATTCGAAAGTTTACATACAAGTACCTAAAACGAGGTTGAAAAACGGCTTCGTTTTTATTCGGTCAAAAAAATCGGCACCAAAGATCCTATGGGCACTATTAGACTGTAGAATAATCTTCGAAATCTTCCCTGCCTACCCATGTGTCTACCCAATATGGCTGACTGTTCACGTAGGGGAGCATTGCCATCTCAAAAAAGTTAGGTCTGAAGAAGAACGCTGCAAAGTTTCTGAGTTCTTGCTTCTTCTTTGACAGGGTTTTTTGCAGGAACTAGTATTCCTCTGATAGCTAAAAACTGCTCCAAACAGAAACTCTAAAAAACGCTCAACAAACAGTAACTAAGGTTATGGAAAAAAATTAATTTTGGAAGAAGTCATGATATACCGAAATCGAAAATCAATCGCACAGAACTTATGCAGCAGCCTAATATATTTATTAGGGTGTCCCATAATTTTTTACCGTTTCTTCTACTTGGGTAAACATTCGACAAAGAAAAGCAAGCTCTAAATGGCTATGAAGAACCCGCCCAAATCGTATTTCACCGAAAGTTTTGAGTTGAATATGATAACAGTCGAGAACAAACTCTTCCTTCAAAAATTTTATCTTCGCCCTCTTATTGTCTCAAAACTCCCCATTTATCCTAATGTATGCTTGACACATCGCACATTCAAATGCGCCATTTCCGTCTTTTTTCCATGGCTAGAAATAAAGAAAAAATGAATGGGGCATTTGATGCAACTTTTCATTCTCTCACTAATGGTTATATAAGCATTGCATAATAGTCGATAAGCTCTTAAAGAATCACGAAAAATGCGAAACATGCTTTTTGAGAAGGTCAAATTTCAAAATTTTCTAGATTTTCATGACAACCCTCGGAGGGAGTCCAAGTAATGGATGGATAGAGCAACCCTACAGAAAACAGCACAACTTTTCCCTACTTTCCAGAGCTCGTCATAATTTTTGTACAGATTTTTTGAAGGAACCACCGAATTTTAGCAGGCTCGTCTCAGACACAAATGGATCAGACGCCAATAAATCTTTGGATTTTGAAACGTACAAAAATGGATTATGGTTTAACACTAATTTTACAAACCAAATGAGCATTCACCGCTTCAGATTAGCAGCTTTCGAAACCGGGTACAGCCTTGGGCGCCCTGGAAAACCTGCATTGTGATGATTTTATCCCGGAATTCTGATGAATCGGAAACAAAAAACAAATGGTAGAAAGAGGAGAAAGAGCTGTGTCGAATGACACCTAAGTTGCTGCCGGTTATTGTTCTGTGAGGTTTGAGTTGACCAAATATGGAATTTGATGGCATTTTAAAACTGATTCCAGAAACTCTAAGAAGCAAGCTAAGAAAAATAAAAAATTACTCTGTGTCCTATAGGGCTTGCTCTATGTACCTGTCGCTTGTTTCTTTTTTTGAAAATAGGTACAAAAATTTAGAAAAATAGCCGAACTTGACCATGGCAAAAAGCATGAGTCGCAGATTTCGGTAATTTTTCGAGAGCTCATTGAATATTCTGCAACGAAATTACAACCTTTAAAAAGAGGATGAAATGCTGCATCGAATGCTTCCAAGAACTCTAGAAAGTCTTGACTCTGTGAAATGTGGCGTTCGTTTGAAAAAAGCGACATTACTTTCGAAACCTACTATATTGTGTCACGCAGTCATTGAAGATAAGATTTGGTTACATCTTGAATACGGCAATGAGTTACGTCGAGGCCCATTTGACAGACTAGCGATCTATTTGAACACCACATCGACCAACCAATCCACGACACCAAAGAGACATAGAGGTCGATTAAGAGCTTTGGACCTTGAGTTTCAACTGAAAATTCAGAGCTGTTCTATGCATTAGAACTTATAATTTGGATTTTTGAACACAGTTTATTCTAGAACAGAGACGCACATTACACTGTAAGCCATGAAACTTACAGTAATAAGCAAATGTTGTTTTCTACTCACAAAGTGCACCGACTTTAGAAGAAAGCTACAGAAGCTCAACACTTCCGAAATCAAATTATTCTTTTATCATTACTGATCGTATTCATCAACGAGCCCTGTGAGTATACCTTATCCTTAAGGGTAAGACTTGCTCTCAGAAAGTAAAACTCATATTTACGAAGCACAGGGTAGGCTTGAAATAATGGCGGGTAAACCTTACCCCAATAAGCGATTAACTAGTATCCATTGACGACTCTGAAAGTAAACCTTACCTCAGAATGCGATTAACCCGTATTTACGAGCGTGGCTGATCAGGGTAAATTCAACCCTAGCATCAAGGCTCGGCACAAGTGGCTTATAAACAAGGTGAATATCGTTTCTGGGACAAAAAGCAAAGAGATATCGTTTCTGGAGTTAGGTTATTTTTTCGACGTTTCGTTCACATAAGCAAATCGGATAATTCGGATGGGCTCAATGGGGAATTCGTAGAATTTTGCGAAAGCCAGGATGACTTCAATTTCGGAAAAGCCACCTCGTGCGGATCTTTGCCTAGCATTCCGCAAGGTTGAATTTGACCTTACCTTCGTGCAAAAATAGAGTAATCCCATGCACCACTCAATCTTAACAGTACTGATTAACAACAAACGCATACTTTCAATTATTATATTGAACCGAAAGTTCGTTCGCACCACATTTAAAAAAAACTATTTTCTCTTACGATAATCTGCACGAAAATTATATTAGGAAAAGCAAAGTTTACTTTCTATGGACACCTTGCCTGCTGTTCACTGAGCTTTGGTTGCGGAGATAAAATTTGGAAAAGGAAATCACTTCAATTTTGGAATTTTGAGGCAAACCCCTTAAAAATTCCAAAACTGTGCCCTTAAAACTCAAAGCAGGCAGTAAATCAGGTTTTGATACCCTCTTTCTAGCTGTGCAAAATTCGCGCTGGCCAGGCTCTTCTCAATAAAGTTATGATTTTCGAGAAGAGA